TAGACCATGGCACTAAGTGCCACATCCAGTCTCTGAATCCTCCAAGGACGGTAACTCTACCACCTCCCTGGGCAGCCCATTTCAATGTTTGATCACTCTCTGTAAAGAACTTCTTCCTAATATCCAACCTAAACCTCCTCTGGCACACCTTAAGACTGCGCCCTCTTGTCCACTGCTGGTTGCCTGGGAGAGGAGACTGACCCCCACCTGGCTACAACCTCCTGTCAGGGAGCTGTAGAGAGTGATGAGGTCTCCCCTGAGCCTCCTCTTCTCCAGGTTGAACACCCCCAGCTCCCTCAGCCTCTCCTCATAGGACTTGTGCTCCAGACTCTTCACCAGCTTCATTGCCTTTTGGACATGCTCCAGCACCTCAATATCTTTCTTCAGTTGATGAGCCCAGAATTAGCACAGCACTCAAGGTGCGACCTAACTAGGACTGAGTACAAGGGCAGAATCACTTCCCTGGTCCTGCTGGCCACGTTATTCCTGACACAGGCCAGGATGCCATTGACCTTCTTGGCCACCTGGGCACACTGCTGGCTCATGTTCAGCTTCCTGTCAATCAGAACCCCCAGTCCCTTTCTGCCTGGCTGCTCTCCAGGCAGTCTGGAGACACTCGGCCTTGTTGAACCCCATACCATTGGATTCAGCCCCATCTATCCAGCCTGTCTAGGTCTCTTTGCAGAGCCCTCCTGCTTTCTAGCAGATTGCCACTCCACTTGGTGTCATCTGCAAATTTGCTAATGGTGGACTCAATCCCCTCATCCAGATCATCAGTAAAGATGTTAAACAGGACTGGGCCCAACACTGATCCCTGGGGACACCACTCGTGACCAGCCACCAACTGGATGCAGCTCTGTTCCCCACCACTCTGTGGGCCCAGCCATCAGCCAGTTCTTAACCCAGCAATAATCCCTATTCAATTTTAAATGATGTCACAAGAGCATGAAGATCTTGTCCTGATCAAAAGTTTAATAACTTGGTATAATAAGCTGTGATTGACAGAGCAGTGCTGACAAGAACAGTTGAGTAAGACAATTTACTTACAAACAAGCCTTAGTGGACTGTGGATCAACAAGAATAGGAGACCAACACCTGAAACTGCTGGAAAACTGTACAGTGGTATCACTGTGGACTGATTTGGTTGGTATCCTGTGCTGATATCTGGCTATTAAAAACCCAGAGTAGCAGAGACTGGGGAGAGAGGAGAGACTGTTTAACAGGTGTCATGATGCATAAAAGCAGGGGGCCCATGGTGGAACTGGAATGTGACAGTGGAGTAAGTGTTACCTTCTCTCCACAGGCTATTCTGTGCTGACTGACTGGCACAGTAACTGGGACAGGTCTCTGTTAACTGTAACTGTGTGAATGAATAAAGCTTTCCTCTGACAAAGCCTATCCCTTCCGGTGGAAGATGCAGGTGAGCCTTGCTGGGGAGTGCTAGGATAGCTAGGAGGTGTTTTGATAGCATGGCATTTCAGGTTGTCATCCACTGACAAACGTGATACTTCTTTCCCAAAGGCCCTGCCATCATCTGACAACCCCAGACACACCTTCAGGACAGAGAAACAACTGACAGATCCTGTGTCTTGGCATGATCTGGGCAAAGACTCACACCAGCAGACACAAACAACAAAGCAAAATGCAAACCTTCTGCCCAAAATCCTCTCTTAAAAGACAGAGACATCTCTCATTCAAGAAACCATTGGGGAAAATTAAGTACCACCTTCACAGAAGCAACACAAAAATCTGATAGATTCTTGTGGTTCCTCCACTAAGACCTTCTACATCTGGAGTCAAAGCAGAACACCACTAGCTTGAGCATCCAGGAAATAGGAGAGCAAAGGGAATCTGGTACTTTATCTGCCCTGAAAAACCAAATCACAGGCATGACTCGACATTTTATTTTGAAAAAAAGAATTGTGAAGTGCATATTGCATAAACCTTACTAGTCCTCAGCAAAATTATGTTTTAAAATAGGGTACCTTCTGTGAAGGGCAACAATCTTTGTCAGGACAAGTCTCCACGTGACTTCTGCTAATAATTAAGGTCAAGATAGAGGTCAGGCATGGAAAACTGATCTCTGAGCCCAGCTAACACCACTAAGTCCACCTCCCCAACAGTATGCACTCTGTGCAGCTGCTCTGCCCCTCTGATAACCTTAGTTGCAGTCCTTTGCCCACCATCAGCAATGCTTACCGGGAATGCTCACCAGACACAATGCCATGACTGGCACAGAGAACTTCCCTATAGCTCTGCAGATGGACAGTGTCCATTTTTCTGAACTGAGGGAGGGACAGTAGGAAGGAAAAAAGGAAGTGTGAAACCCTCTAGACTAGGATGGCAGCAGGCCTCTCATGCAAACAGCTTTCTTTTAATACTGTCATCAGCACTCCTAGTATCACAATCTTTCCATTGATTTCATCGACCCCTGAACCAAACCCCATGAGTCTGAGCATGCTCAGAGCAAATTTACAGAGAAGGAATCCAGAAAGAAAAAAAAAAAAGGCAAACACTGCATTATATAACTATTTTGTGATGTAACTGAAACATCACATCCTGCTGAGGACGGCTGATGCTGCTGACAAAAAAAACAGTACAAAGCTACAAAGCAGCTGGACATCTGCTGTGGGAAAGGCACACAGAGAAAAATGCACCATTATAGTCCAAACAACGCTTGCACCTGAATAAATTCGCCAAGCAGGAGCAATCAACAAAGTTTCTTAGGTGGCCTTAACATAAGATCTTCTTCTATTCTTCAAAAAAAACATCGCAAGAAACCTCTCCCAACACTAAAAATAACATTCTTCTTTAAATTTCACTGCTTTCTAATTTACTCCTACAAAGCAGCTCACTTTTCCTCTCCTGTTACCACAAGCATCATCCCACCTTCCGAGGGGCGCTGAGGGCTGAAAGCTCCAGATTCACACAGACACCACAGGAGCTCTGCAAGAGCCTGGACCACCATCGCTGCCGCGGGGGCACGCTGCTCCAGCCGGCGGGCTCAGAGCCCTTCCTTGTCCCGAGGCTCACAGCCCACATCCGCGGAGAGAGCAGCTCCGAGGACTCGGGGAGACGCGGCACTGACCCGCCCCAGCTCGGTGCTGTCCCGCGTGGGCAGGTCCCGGGACGGGGCGGGCGCGACCCAGCCGTCACTAAAGGGCTCGGCGGGCGATAGTGCCGA